TACCTTACAATATTCTTCTCTTTCTTTCTGATCTATGTTCTTTGACAGATAAGGAGTGAAAGGAACAGCATCTGTTTCTCCAGATCCTTCGCTTCTTGCCCAGATCTTTATTATTGTTTATAATGTCTTCAAAATCATGCCTGGCTGAGCAGATCAGTAGACAAGGATGATCAGTAGAGAAGGAATTTGGGGAGCTCAAGGTGATGGCACATAAGGATGGATCTAATATTCCTACAATAACAATCTTTTGAAATAAAATGGATTGAGAGAGAATGATGTGCTTATAGTCACCCAGTGAACTCTGTGGTTAAGTAAAGTTTTCAGCTTGAGTTCCCCCGGTTCAAATGCCATGGTACCTGCAACAAGCCAAAATGACACCATCATGCAAATTCTGAGATTACATATTTCTGTATCAATGTCTGAGGTGAGAATGTACTATGAGTCTTGGCATTTGCTTAATTGTCACATATATTTCATGAGACGGGAAATGTTTACCTTTCTATTTCATCACTTGCTTCCCTTGCCTACCCTGCAGATTTTGAGATCTATTATTATTAAAAAAAAATCTCTATCCTCTTTTTTCTGTTCTGTTTCCATTTTTCATGCATTTCTAGTTTCTTTCTGTTGCTTAGTTTATTTTTTCATTCCGGTGGCGAAAATCTCCGCCTATTTAAAGGATCAATCACAAGAGAAATATATTATGGTTTGGAGAAGATGGATTGATTACATTCAGAAGAAATATGAGATGGAAAAGTATTATCTTGCTTTTGAGTAGATTTTAGATAATTATTAATAGTTTTAATTATCTTATTATTTTTGATTTAATTTGTTAATATTTGTTTGGAGAAGGAGTTAAAGTGTGTTATGGTTTTGTTTGATAGTATAGTTGGTTTATGTTAATTAGATTGTTTGTTTATTTTATTTTTTATCCTGTAATCAGCTCTGGGAAGTGGGGGAGGGGGGAAGGGGTGGGGGGGTTTATATTGTAATAAATTTATAAAACTTTTAAATAAAAGAAAAAGAAAAAAGAAAAAAAACAGTTTATTTTTTTCAGACAGCTTCCTTGACATAACCCAGTCCCTAAAACATAGGGTGTATATCGTGTTTCCCTGAAAATAAGACTTGGTCTTATATTTATTTTTGCTCCAAAAAACCATTAGGGCTTATTTTCGGGTGATGTCTTATTTTTTCATATACAGGAGGTGGTGAGTGTGTTGGGGCCACCAGGCCGGCCCTCCAAGCAGCAGGCAGAGGCAGATACATGGGGGGAGGTACGTGATCTGTCTGGGCAACTATGCGGCTGCCTGCCCTGTCCCAATTGTGGCAACTGTGGGCAAAGACAGACAGTCTTTTGGTGAAGCAGAGCCGGGCCACGGGATCCCAGTGCCCCAGGAGCTAAAACGCTGGGTGGGTGCCCACCGCCCAGGGCTCCAGGCAGCCCATGTTGCCTGCTGGGGACCTTAAACGAGAGGGTCAGCAAGGCTCCTCCAGTGGATCAGGCCCTGGCACCTGCCCTGGTCCCGCCCCCTCTCTGGAGACCCCTGGACCCCCCCAGCCCTGCCCGGGCCCCCACAGGCACCCCTTGACATGAGTGACATGAACTGTCCATGTCCACTTGCCACTCTAGTGGCAAGTGGACATGTCCCAGGCCAGCCACCCCCACCCCTACACTTGCCCAGCCTCATCTCTGGGGCTTATTTTTGGGGTAGGGTTTATATTAGGTGCATTCTGAAAAATCATGCTAGAACTTGTTTTTTGGCTGGGTCTTATTCTCGGGGAAACACGATAATAGCTCATATGGTATGCAGCTCAACTTTTATTCCTCCATGAACCAGTAGGTGGCAGAAGAAAACAGCAAAAAGTCATCTTCTGTACTTTGCTTTTTAGTTGTAGGAAGGCAAAATCTTTCTTTAAAGTAGGAAGTCTGAGCTGTTTTTCATTTACAGTACAGCCTGAAGAAACAATACTGCTGGTTCTTTACATCCCCTTTTAGATTGTTGAGCCTTCCTTCCTTCCTTCCTTCCTTCCTTCCTTCCTTCCTTCCTTCCTTCCTTCCTTCCTCCCTCCCTCCCTCCCTCCCTCTCTCCCTCCCTCTCCTCTCCTCTCCTCTCCTCTCATCTCCTTTCCTTTCCTAAGTTGTAGGGGTGAATGTTTTATGCTTGGGCCAGGAAGCCCCAGGTTCAAATCCAATTCAACCAGACAGCTCACTGAATGGATTTCTTTGGCCAGTGACTCTCTCCCTTTCCAGGATTGCTATGATAAGGCTAAAATCAGGGGAGACTCTCCTTCTCACCCTACAATCTACTTTAGGCTAGAGATGGAATATAAATACATTAAAAAACAATAACAATTGACAGCATGCTTCAACACTTTGAGACAAAGGCTAAGAACTGTTAACAGCAACAGTAAATAAAGTAAATAAATGCTATTTTTGAATGCTTTACTCTTCTTTCTATCCGTCTGCCTGTCTACTTTTTTTTTTTTTTAAAGTAAAATAATGATTAAATAAAAGTAAAAGACGTGAGTTTTTCAAATTTGGCATGTTTTCAGCTCTGATTCCCCCCTTCCCAGCTTGAATTTTCACACTCTTAATGTTGGAATCAGTTTAGCTGTTTAGGTTTAAATTGACAACATAGTCACTGATTAGCAGGCAAATAGTCACTTTAAATATGTTCAGCATTAACTATTTCATGGAATGGGTTAATCATTTTTAATTAAAGAAAATGTAGAAGGATAATTTAAGCAGGTCAGCAAACTGTACTTTGTTTCCTCTCTATTTACTTTCAACATTTGCACAGTTACTCAGTAACTTTATATTGTTTATCAGGGCTGTAACTGTGCTGAAGATTAGAGCTATGTAGAGAAGAAACAGGACTGGGAAGGGGGTGAACAAGGCAGGGACACAAAGCCCCTGTGGATGGGCTATATCTTTGCTTCAGTTCTGCTTCCCCTATCAAATATTTGGGGGGGGGGAAAGGATAAGGATATATGACAAGAGATTTCTATCTGTTGCTATGGGCACAGAAGAATGAGGGAGTACCAAGAAGGCCTTGTTAGCAAGTTATACTAAAATGAAGATAATTAGATTGCTGTCCATGCCGGCTACTTTCTTGACTTTGGGTATGTTAACCTCAACCATCTCCTCTAAGCCATAGCCTATGTAACTAAACTTCTTGCTTTTTGTGGTTTATCTGTGAATGCCTGTGTTTGTTTCCACATCATACCTTTTTGGTTACCCAGTCCTCCAGAGTATTGAGCTGGAATACACTGTCCGCCTTGAAATACTGGGAACAGGTTGTTGTCACTGTAAGCCATTTAGTGTTCTCTCCAGACACTCAGTAGGAATATGCAGAGAGTGTCATGTTCATAATATTACTGTCATAGCCCCTGCAGTCTTATGCTCCACACAGGAGAAAAGTAAATTTTATCCATCTGTTCATGTAGTCATGAGCTTTTGCCAAGAGGGATAACTATAGTTGTAGGTTGCAATATCAAATGTCTGGCCGTGTTACTAAGGAGAAAGTAATAGATTGCATGAACCCAGGGGCTGGAAGGCAGGTGAAACAAGGGGCTCCTTATATAAGGAGGAAAATGTAATACAGAGAAAGATTTTATAGGGATTATGAAACTAACTAGAAGTTTAAGATGAGATTTGCTGGAAAGGCTGCAGGGAGAAATCTATTGGAGATTTCTGACTCTATGGGAAATTAGACCAGAGGTCCCACACGTGGGGAAAAGGCTTCCATCAAAGCTCTGGGAGAGTATCAACATCATATACTGCAGAACAGAACTTTTGTGATTTGTGCTTCTTCTCTCCCTGAGATACACACTTGCCCAGTATGAGAACTGGCTTGGCAGAAGCTCTGCCTGTCTCTGTCTTGTTTCAAAATGTCCCCTTCCAACTGATAGGACCTGCCAAATATATTGCAAATATATATCATGACTTTCTTTCACAGAAAAGTAGTTCGCCGTTTTGAAAAAAATAACCAACGTATGGGCCGATTAAGTAAAAACAGATGGTGATGATAATGATGATGAAGATAACTTCTGAAATACTCATTTTCTGTTAAGCTATAGCTAATTCTTTCCACTTATTGAACCACACAACATTCCCAACAACTAAATTCTGCTTTACGTATACATTGGTTATTTCGCTCAAAATGCAGAGAGTGTATGTATGATACATTCTAAATCTGCATTCACTGTGCATAAAACAGAAGCATATTTCTAATACTAATTTTATGCATGAAATTTCCTCTCTCCTCAAAAAGTGCAATTAATTTCAGCTGGAATAAAAGTGATTAGTAAATGTTAGTAAATGTAGTTGGAGTAAAATTTCCTTGTGATTCAGTAAATCTCAGAAGGATTTCTAAGAGTAAAAGTCACCTGATAGGAAATGAAAACAGAGGGATGTTACAGATCTATAAATCTAAAAGCAGATTTAAAAACAAAGTTGATTGTATTAGATTTTTAGTATTCTGAACCCAAGTCCTGAGCTGAGCTTAGAGCCTAAGAATTATTTTTCCTTTTTCCCTTAAGCCCACCTTCCCTCAAAAAGCCTGGTAGAGGCTCACTTGGTTGTCTTGCTTCTCTTCACAAACCATCGCATATGCCCAAAAGATATTTATTTAAATTTCCAGTAATGGCAAAGGAAGAAATTATCATTTAAAAAGGGTCAGTAAATAGAACTAATAGTTATCACAAAAATGCCACATGAAACTAAAACAAAAAATAAAATCCAAACTTCCAGTTTTTTTAAGCCAGGATTTGGAAACCCTATGATTTTTGACCTACTCTTGGTTAACCCCCAGATATTGTGGGTGATTGGAAATCCCTTGATTGCTTGCCATGATGCAAAAGATTGAGCCTGTAGTAATACAGACGTCCAGCAGGCGGCGGCAGCAAACTTTCGTAATTCTCTCCAACTCTAAAACTGAAAAAGGAACATTCTGTCAGCAATGAAGTGAAATCCCTCCTTCTTAATTAAAAAAAAAAGTGCTTCTAGGGCACGTGGCTTGTAAAGGAGAGCAAAAATTGACGGTTATGCTCTAGATATTTGCTGTTATGCTTGGCTGGCTGAGTTGAAAGCACGTTTTGGATTTGCTGCCGTTAAAGATTCTGCTTTTGGTCTCTGTTCCGGTCGTATTAAGGATACTTTTAACTGCTGCTGAAATCTGATAGCATCCCATTAACAAAGGCTGCTACAGCTTCGGAATGCCTGAATATCTGGCAAACATTATAAAAGGCGCTGATGCTAATCTCCTGGGTGTTCGTTGGCTGGCTGGAGGTATGACACAATGTTATACCAATCTGATTTACTGCGTTAAGTATTTTTTATAACCTAAACAATATTTACAGGTTGTTTCTGCCGGGCAAGTGCAGGTCTCTTCTATTAAACACTGTCGTTTTATGGGACCTGGGCATTTTCTGCCCTCTGAAACAGCACCCCCCCCGGAAATATGTATAACATCCTCTGAAACTTTGGTCTCAGACTGGGATTGTTGTTTTTGTGGGGCTTCTAGTTTGGTGTGATTTGTTATGGTATGATAGTTTTGTTCTAGGCTGCCTTTGGGGTGGTATGCTTTCAACTGTTTTTTATTGTTTGTACTTGTATTTGTAAGCCCCCTCAGAGTCAATGAGAATGGATAGCTATAATTTAAATAATCAGTAAAAGGCAAAGGATTTTTGTATCCAAGATGTTTTAAAAAAGATAATCATCCCTAGGTTTTTTTTTTCCAGTCAACTTGCCTCCCTTCCAAATAGTTATGCTGGGCCATTTTTCACAGGTCCCAAGGATCGAAGGAAAAATCGAAGCCATGTCATGTTAACAATTAGTTAACATGATCTAACCCAGATGTTAAAGATAAACCCATGCTTCCCAGTCAGCTGAAAGAATTAAATAAAAACCTAGTTAATTAGTCCCTGAAGTTTTGTTTTGGTGAAACTATTTGAAATACATCCTGAATTTGTGACAGGAATTTTCAGTAAACTTGCTGAAGCTATATGTAAAGCTTCAATGTAATTTTGTACTCACTGGACGTGAGCCACACTAGTAAAATTAGGTTCCAGTATACTTTGTACCTATCCTAGTGGATGAGATCTGTCATCTCTGGATTGGAAAGCCTAGTTTGCACAGTAAAGCAGGAGCTGCTCAGGTTAAAACTGAGATTTGGTTCTGGTTGGTGCACACTGGTTAAAATAATCATATTATCCTTTCAAGGGTCCCCTTGAGCAGGACTTCTGTCTCCAAGTGACAAGTTCAAGACACGTTTGCTCAGAAGTTGTGTTCTGCTTTTTCCAAAGGGTGTATTCCAGAGTAAATATTGCGAAGAGGTTTTATCACAACTCCTTTGTGAGGTGAGTTGGGTGCTGTTCTCTCTGGAAGTTTTCAGTCAACATTTTCCCTTTCCTTTGCCAGGAAGCTTTTACTGCAGGATAGTTCAAGGCTTCAGTGACCCATCACCCTTACTTGGGCAACATAGTTTGGTTATTTCTAGGTAATCCAGGTAACGGCTGATGTGGATGTTGTTGATTGGGTTAGAACAAACGAACCCCTATTTTTGTTGTTGCTGCTGCTATTGTTGCCATTACTGCTGCTGTGTAACCTGGTCCCCTCCTGAACTTTCTAATCTGCCACATTGCTGCCACTTGAAAAACATGTCAGGGATTATTTCCAAAGCCTGTCCAGTTACAAGCATGTGTAAAGTCTGAATGGGCTCAAAATGCTCGAACACTACATGAAGGTTGAAGAGAAGTAGTTCTTGAATTTATTAAAAACTCATGCTCAAAACCCCAATCCCCAAGGAAAGAAGATAATTACTAAAGAACCATAATAATAGCAGCCTAGAAATGCTGAATTCTCTTTATTCTGATTTCTGTCTTATTCTTTCAGGAAACATATAAAAATGTAAAAAATGAAAACAATTAGTGAAGAGGACTTTACCTCATTGATTCAGAATTTCTTGTGGTGCTGAACAGCAAATATTGTTACCACCAGTTTCAATAACATGGAAACATAATAGTTTAAGAATTCCTGGAAAGTTGTTCTATTATTGGGAAATCATTTGAAGTTTCAAAGCATTTTATAAAAGCAGCCCTGTCTTAAATGTGCTATTGCTGTCCTCCAGAGGAATTTAAAGTTTGTGTTACTGGGGCTAAATTGGTTATCTCCAGAGATATTAGGTTCCTTGACTTATATTTGCAAAAGCAAACACCCAAACCTGGGCAATTCCCAAATGGTGAATGTGAATGAGATAAAGGTGACTTTTGCTCTTCCAAAGGATGTAGTCCTGAATGGCTGCTACTTTCTCATTTATTGACCTGGTTTTCCTGTTTATCCTTCCCCTGGTAGTGAAGAGGCTGTCACCAGCGAGTTTGTTTCTTCAGGATCTTCTAGAAACAATACAGTACTCTGCAAAGAAGAGGAAGTGTTTAGAACAGTGGTTCTCAACCTTTTTAATGCCGCGACCCCCAACCAGTCGTACGTCGAGGACTACTCAACCAGTTGTAAGTCGAGGACTAAACTGGTGCAGCACCCAGTTTGCAGACTGGGACTTTTGACGGGCTCAGCAGGGCAGAGACAGCCTGGACAATTCCTATTGGCTTTTGAAAGCCAATAGAATTAGACTCTATTCAAGAGAGTCTATTCTATTGGCTTTCAAAAGCCAATAGAATAAAAGGGAGTAGCACAGCTAAGGAAAAGGGGGAAAAATGGCTGACTGCGTTGTTTGGCGACCCCCATGAAATGGTCGTTCGACCCCAAATGGGGTCCCAACCCACAGGTTGAGAACCACTGGTTTAGAATGAACCGTAACGTAAAGGAATTTTCATTATATTTAAAACTGATTTGGACTGTTCCAAGATCACACATACACTTACAGTAAATAAGATGACAAAGAAGTAGATCTTGTTGAAACTCCTTACCCTTGCCACTTGGAAGGAGAACTTGGGTAACCTTGCATAGGACAAGTGAGAATCACTGCTCTGTTCATGTAATTAGGTTTTACAGCTTAGAAATACAAAAACTATGTGGCCCATGTTTTTCCCCCAAATTTGTATTCATAATTCAACATTATATAGCCTATGAATCTAAATACTGTTATTGCCACTCGTTTTATCACAGATGTTTGAATTACCCACTACCATTCCATTAGTCATTTCCTCTCTCAGTAACAATGGAGTTTTAAATTGACTTGTGAGTGAACTTTTAATTCAAAATGGCACAATTAAAATAACTACATATTTTTTGTTAAAATTTTCCTATGCATAGTTCAGTGGTGATGAACCTATGGCACAGGTGCCAGAGGCAGCATTCAGAGCCATCTCTGTGGGCATGCACGCCGTCGCCCCAGTCCTAGGCCTTCAGCTGGGTTTTATAAAACCTTTTTACTTTAGGCCTCTGCCACTGTGTGCAAAAAAAAAAAAAAAGGTTCAATCAGTCAATTTCAACTTCTCGCGGGAAAAAAAAAGATCTTGCAAAGTTGGAATTGATTGATTGAACTTTTTAGTCCCACCCAGTCTGCTGTTACCATCGCAGCCACACCCACCCAATTGGCCACACCCAGTCAATGGGCCACACCCACCCAATGGGCCATACCCACCTGGCACTCGACGATGTGTAAGTGGGTTTTGGGTTGCAGTTTGGGCACTCAGTCTCTAAAGGATCGCCATCATTGGCATAGTTGGTTACCATTTTTTTTCCTGAAAGACTCCTCACCTACAGAAAAGGCAAATGTTTTGGTTTTCAACCTACCCCAATCCCCCCAAAGGACAGAAACAAGAACTTATAAATGTTGATAAGTAACTCTCCTCGAGGTGAAAGAATAAATTAAGCAGAAAGTAAACAAGTAGGTATGTGAAAGGTTAGAGGAAACCTGGACTTTAGATGTGATTGGGAGTCTATGAGGCCTCCTCCTTTGAGTATGTCTTATTTAAACATTTTCTGTGATTTTTCAAGAGGAACTTGAAGAAGGATGGAGCTAACCTGGACAGGAGTTCTGCTTCTTCTCTGTGTACTCTTCACCCTTTTCTCATCTTTCCAAATGTACAAGAAAAAAAGGCAGCTGCCCGCTGGACCTACTCCATGGCCTATTCTGGGGAACCTCTTGCAGCAAGATGTACTACCTCTGTATAAAAACTATGAAAAGGTATGATTTCTTTGAAGTCTATCTATATTACTTCCTTTGTCTAGTTTTAGTAGTTAGAGGTGTTGTTGAGTATTCATATAAGTTTTCAACAGGTATTTTAGCATAGAATTGCTTTGTAGCAACCTGATAAAAGCATAAAGTTGATAAAAAGAATAAGTAGTAGTAATAAGTGTTTGAGAAAATTAAATATCTGGTCTCAAGTTTGTTTCATTTGAATTAGCATCAAACTCAATGAAATCTCCTCCTCCTCTAGCCATCCTGCTTGATTCCAGTTTGTTGAAATGCAGACACACCTTCTGTCCTAGCTAACCAAACACTAAGATTATCTTTTTTAAAATATGTTTTATTAATTTTTTAATATAATCACCTTAATATTTGGTAAACAGTGTGTTGTCTGGGTTTACATTTAAGAAACATTCACCAACAGTTGATTTCTGTAATCTATAATCCATATAATAGCTTTACTTGATTTCTTTTTCCCATGATGTTCTCTTTTACCAACCTTAAGTTAATACAATTCTTGTTTTAATGAATGATGATTGAGTATAAAGGTTTACTAATAATCACATCAATATAATATTCCTTTTCTATCTAGTCATTCTGGTTGTCTCATCATAGATCCTGTTTACAGTTCTTGCTTACATTTGTTTTTCCTCCAATGTTCAAAACATTCTTACTTAAGATTTTCTCAAAGTTAATTACATTTAAATATTTAAGTTATTTTTCTCATGTAAGCCAACCCAATACTTTTACCTTTCTTAAGGAATAAATAAGACTAAAAAAAGAAAAAAGAAGAATAAGAATAAAAAAAGATAATATGTTACTTAAAATCCCTATTTCCTATAAGCTAATACATATTTATTTTCAAAAGTTATTTGTTCTTTTTTACCATAATTAAAATATATTTAATCTTTAAAAATTCCATTTAATAAATCTAGTACTCTGGTCTTTTAACTCTTATTCAAAACATTTTTTTTAATCCATTGTAATTTTCTTAGAGTCAATCACCTTTAGATATCTAAAATATTTCTTTTATATAAGCCATTCCAACTCTTTTATATTATTCATATCAAGAAATAAAATAAAAAAGAAGAATTAAAAAGTACTATGTTACTTGAGGGGCTCTTCCCTCTTAAAGGCAAATTCACTTCCAAAATTTTTATATTTCTTTAACCATATTCGAACAGGTATTTCTTTTTTAAATAATCTCTCTGATAGGCCCCATCGTCTATTTTCTTAATTTTCACTTTAGCGTTTTTCTTTTGCCCAGTATCTTTCTTAATCAATATGTTCTGCTGAGTCAAAGAATCTTTCCATATTCTTGTAGGTGTTACTGTAGATATAAAAGGTACTGTAAGTCAAGTACAATATCTTTGTAAGAGGCATTTGCCCTTTCATGTTTGCTGAAAATCTTTTTCTTTTTCTCTCTGTTTCTCTTATCATTTTTGTCTCTCCAGTTCTAGTGTTTTTCCTGGCATCTCCTGGAATAATCTTTTTTCTTACCCTCAAATTTGTTTTGTGGTGTTAAAGTATAAGTTGTCTTTTCCAAATCCAGTATTGTAATTTTTTTCCCCACTTGGGTTAAATCATACTTCTTTGTTTTGTTAGGTTCCATCTTTAAGTCTCTATCCTCACATTTATCTTATATGCAGAGCACATCATGAGAAAGGCAGGGCTAGATGAAACAAAAGTTGGAATTAAGATTGCCGGGAGAAATATCAACAACCTAAGATATGCAGATGATACCACTCTAATGGCAGAAAGTGAAGAGGAATTAAAGAGCCTCTTGATGCGGGTGAAGAAGGAGAGTGCAAAAGTTGGCTTGAAACTCAACATTAAGAAAACCAAAATCATGGCATCCGGCCCTCTCAATTCCTGGCAAATAGATGGGGAAGAAATGGAGGTAGTGACAGATTTTATTTTTCTGGGCTCAAAGATCACCTCAGATGGGGACTGCAGCCAAGAAATTAAAAGACGCTTGCTCCTGGGCAGGAAAGCTATGGCAAATCTAGACAGCATTCTAAAAAGCAGAGACATCACCCTGCCAACAAAAGTGCGTATAGTCTAGGCCATGGTTTTCCCAGTTGCAATGTATGGCTGTGAAAGTTGGACCATAAGAAAGGCTGAGGGCCAAAGAATTGAGGCCTTTGAACTATGGTGCTGGAGAAGACTCCTGCGAGTCCCTTGGACTGCAAGGCGTTCAAACCGGTCAGTCCTAGAAGAGATCAACCCGACTGCTCTTTAGAAGGCCAGATCCTGAAGTTGAAACTCAAATACTTTGGCCACCAAATGAGAAGGAAGGACTCACTGGAGAAGGGCCTAATGCTGGGAAAGATTGAGGGCAATAGAAGAAGGGGACGACAGAGAATGAGATGGCTGGATGGAGTCACTGAAGCAGTAGGTGTGAACTTAAATGGACTCCAGAAGATGGTAGAGGACAGGAAGACCTGGAGGAACATTGTCCATGGGGTCGTGATGGGTCGGACACGACTTTGCAATTAACAACAACAACAATTCTCACATTTGTATTCAGTTGTCTGTTTTATTTGTTCCTTCTCTGTTGTTATTTCCTGGGATTTTTGTTGTTGTTGTAAAGATAAATTGGAGATGAATTGGTTTATATTTTCAAAGTTATTTTGGATTTCTTTGCAGTTTGGAATCATTGTTATTTGAATTAGTTGCAACATATCATATGTCTCGTATTGAAAAGTATTTATTTTTTCTTGATAGATTCTTTCTATAAATCTCTGATTTTCCATGATGACTAAGAATCCAAATTTTCTTTTCTCTGCAAATAGCTTTGAGGTCAGAGTTAGGTAGATACTGGTAATCCAGAAAGTTCAAAAAAATATTTTTTTTGTTCCCTGAAGTTTGTAAGTCTCACTTTGTTTGCAGCCCAGATTTTCTTTTTTTGTCACAGCTATTCTCTGTTGTTAGAGCTTTCAAGGTCACAAGTAGAGATTAGTTTTTTCCAGATTTTGCCAAGTCCTGCATGAAAGCCATAGCTGTCGTAGTCTTCATCCATCACTAGCTGTCAGCACTGGTTTATTTTTCAAATTTTCAAAATGAACAAATTGCCTTTAAAATGAGAGTCTTAACCATTCAGTAACTTCAAACTTATCCAGATTTAGGGTTTATAGTCATTTCATTTCAATACATTTTGGTCCTCCATAAAAGGTTTAATTTGCTGCTTCCATTAGTAAAAGGGTGGGGCAAAAATCCTCCTCCTTCACTTTCGGAGGTTTTCTGCTTCTTGGGATTTTTTTTTCCTTCAGGAAAGTTGATAAGTAGGATAGAGAAAATCGATGTTCTTACCCAGATTCAAACGCGCTGTTTACAGTCAGCTTAAAATAGTGCTTTTGACTTCGGTTGTTTGCAGCTTGGGCTAGACTCTGAAGTTAGGCTAGCCTTTCTCCTGTTGGTTTCTGGAAGGCTTCTCCTGGACTGATCAGGTCGACCGCCATTGCTCCAAGGTCCCCGGGACTTCCTTCCTTTGCCGCCTCTTTGGGGCGACTTCTGGCCCATTTAGGGTTCCCTAACAGGAAGAAACTCAGCCAAAGGGCATGGAGTCCCGAACCCCTTGACTGCTGCACTGCTGCTCAGGATAGCAAATCTCTAACACTAAGACTATCTTATATGGTTGCAAAAATCTGCATAATCACTAGACATCAACAAAAACATACATAAATTCCTTGCTGTAACCTAGTAATATCCAGTTTCTTGAAGATCCTCAATGAATATAAATATAATGGGGAACTACAAAATAGCAAAGCATAATGCTTACTTAAGGTTGAAAGGTGGTGAATTGTAAGACAATGGACAGTTTATGGTTTTCTTTGGGGTTGATTGGAGTTCGATCAAACTAGAAAGTTGTAACAGGCAAAGTTTGGTCACTTGGAAAGTTTAATTCTAACTTGAAGAGTAAAAGAAGTCTAATGATACCAGAAAGGGTGAAACAAACAGTATTAGGAAGTTTTGGTACATTTATCTTGTATGTCACAAATGCAACAAAATCTCTATTTTATGATGTACAGCACATGCTATTGTATGTGAACTAGGATATTTAATTCACATAAAAGTAAATATGCTTTTAGCCATGCTAATTTTTGTGAGAAAGTAATAATGTTAATGTGACTATGTGTCTAAAGCTAAATTTTTCAAAGGATAAAGTTCTGTTGAATTATATACTTACCGGTGATATATGGAATTTGACAACTATACAGCATACATGGATTCTCCATGCCATTATCATAATTAAAAGATTGATACTGCTACATTGAAAAGATAAATTAAGATTCATTTACTCAATGGATTGAAGACTGATTATAGTTGCTACTTAAGAGTGGATTGCGTATAGACATAAACTTTGTATGGATAAATATAAAGGTAAACATTTATACAAAGTACAATTGATTAAAAAGCATGATTGTCACAAGTATTAGAAATATATATGTATATTCATAATATATGTTTGTGTGTGTGTGAGTATATGTGTATATGTGTATTTACTAGAAAATGATATTGAAAAAAAGGTAATTGTTTATTGTTTTAACAACATAATATAATAGGAACTGTGGTGGCATAGTGGTTATAGAATGCAGTATTGCAAGTTAATTCTGCTGACTGCCAGGAGTTCAACCCTCACCAGTTCAAGGTTGACTCAGCCTTTCATCCTTCCGAGGTCGGTAAAATGACCCAGATTGTTGGGGGCAATATGCTGACTCTGTAAACCACTTAGAGAGGGTTGTACAAGCACAGTGAAGCGGTGCTATTGCTATATTCCATACCTTATTTTTCTGTGCTGTATTTTTTCACTTATTTTTAAAGCATTTGTTATGTATTTCTTGATAATGTATGTAATTTTATGCTTTGTTTCTTTTGCTTTTTTCTTCTGTTATTTTAAAAGCAATTACATTTTATATAAACCCATATGATTAGCCATATCCCACAAACTAGTAGACACCTGTAATATTCTGGAATCTAGTTGTATTTGTGGATGTTAAGAATTCTTGGAACTTTCCTTGAACATTTTGAATGTTGCTCTGTGATAATTTAAAATGTACTTCAAACATGCTTGGGAATAATTTCACTCCAACATGGGTCATCAAGTAATTAACTAGGTTTTCATTTAATTCTACCTTTAGCTTATTGGACAGTATGGTCCTATCTTTACCATCTGGATTGGGTCAAAACCAATGGTTGCGCTCTGTGGATATGACATGATAAAAAATGCTTTGATAGATCATGCAGAAGAATTTGGTGGACGTATTATTGTGCCCACCATTGAGCGAATATTCCGTAATCATGGTTGGTACTTTTGCACTTCCTTATTTGCTCTTCTTTTTCTTTGCAAGCTGTTAACATGCATTTTAAATTGTGCTAGAGAGATCTAGAAATTATGCTAGAGAGATCTAGAAAGTTTCACTTGAAAGATGATTTTGCAGAAATGTTAATTTGGTCACAGTTGTAGAAGAGAGAATAAAACTGTACCATCTTTCCTGTTAGTAGTCCATTATGAAGTATGTAAGTACACACACACACAGAGACAGAGAGAGAGAGAGAGAGACAGAGAGAGTGCGTGCACATGCAAGAGACAGAGAAAGAGACAGAGGAAGGAAGGAAGGAAGGAAGGAAGAAAGAAAGAAAGAAAGAAAGAAAGAAAGAAAGAAAGAAAGAAAGAAAGAAAGACAGACTCTCATTTCTATATTGGTCCTTTGGAAAGAGACCCAGAAATACTTTTTCAAATAAAACTGTTTTGGCTGATGCCGTCTGGGCTATTGTTGAAAATTAATTTCATATACCTTCAAAAGGAAATGTCTTCTCTTAGCCAATGTTGCACAAATGTTGAAGTGAGTCTATTTTTTTTCCTGCTTCCTGAAAATCGCAGGGACAGTATAGATTTGTCTCTATGTTCAATATACATCATATATTTTTGTCTATATTACAATGGCAGAAACCTGTATCATGATTTTCATAACCTTACTTATTCTCCTCTTGATATGATAGCAGTCAGGATTGGGGCCCTGAGTGTGTGAAGGCTCTCATCTCCCAGTTATACTAATGACTAAAAAAATGTATTTTTCAGAGCTACTACATATTTTAAATTTTATAATTGTTATTGAAATTGTGTTAAAGATAAACACAATACCAATAACAATTATAAAATCTAAAATACATAGTAGCTGATAAAAATACATTTTCTTTAATATTGCCCAGTGTACATTTTTGAGATAGGTAGCTACATAAATTGAAAATGAACGAATGAATAAATAAATAGAAGCTGTATTGGCTAATTAATATTTCAAGCTGCCAGTTGTACTTTCTGAAAAGTGGGAGATTTTGTGATCCATAATATATTGCAATGCAGTGACCTGTTTTAGCTATCAGCAGGACAAAGAAGTGAGGGAGAAAAGTAACCACTGTTTATATTGAAACATGCTACTTCTCAAAAGCTGAAAACTGACATCATGCTCTTTCCCCTGTGTCTTTGGTTTCAGGTTTGGCCACTGCCAATGAGAGAAAATGGAAGGAGATGAGACATTTCATCCTATCTACCTTGAGAAATTTTGGGATGGGGAAGAAACAAATGTCTGAAAGAGTGCAAGAGGAAGCCTTTTGTCTAGTGGAGGAAGTAGAGAGCATGCAAGGTCCTACAAAAAGCCCAAAACACTTCACCTGCAGAAGAATAATTTCATTTGTAAAAAGAAGCTGAGAGGGGTTTTGTATCATGTAGGATTACAGGAAAATTAGATTCTAAGTTGAAACTCAAATACTTCTGCATTTTATTCTGTACAAAATAAAGAAAAAGAAAGAGAGGCGGAGACAAGCCCCCTCTCCTTCCCTTACCGGGTTGTTTTCACACTGGTGTTCAGGAGTACAGATAAAAATACACATGGGAAATATATAAAACTTTCAAGCTGTTTCCCACACTTTTCTACCCACCATCAGCTCTTGGCTTCCTAAAATTACAAGGATACTGAGAAGTTGTGAAATTTTAGTGTGGCTGCAGCAACTGATCAAAAATACTAGGAAGTTGTTCAGTGGGGTAATTATGGATTTTTAATCAGGGATATGTTTAACTAGGTTTAATATCAATGCTAAATGACCCATCAGGTAAATTCAGCAGCCAGCAAAACACTTTATGGCTAAATGAGATAGGTAACTAAAGTAGGTAAAGAAAACATGGATAAGAATATTCTGCATGAGGGATGAAGATCTGTAGGCAATGTAGACTTAAAAAGCTACAAATAAAGTTCAGTCAGGGAGTTATATTACCTTTGAAAACCATCTTCAGTAGAGTCTAAAGAAGGAGATAGGAAAAGAAATAAAAACAAAGAGTATGGCACTGTTTTTAAAAAAGTGTTGGCTAGATTAGAAGGAGAGGGATATGGAAAGAACAAAAGCTCGGTTAAAACTGGAAAGAGAAGCAGAAAGTTCAAAAAGGTAAAGAAGAATTAAGTTGGTCAAGGGAAAGGAACAAATAAAATAAAAGAAACCAGCTATGAGCAGAAAAATGCAGAGTGAGGAGCCCCAGATAAAGAAAAAATTGTAGACAGCAGAATCCAGCGATAAGATAGTGGAAACATAATGTAGGCTTTCATGTATTTAACCTATACAGTAATACCTTGGTATTCATTGTTAATTGTTTTTAGGAGGCGTGATGAGTACCAAAAATGAACAATGTTTCCCATAATGAATAATGTAGTCAGTCACAAAGCAGCTGATACCAAGTTCTAGCTTGTGCATTGACTACCAAACAAACGATGAGTACTGGGACAAAATTTTCACATCAAAATGTGTTGAGTACCAAATCTGATGAGTTTCAGAGCAGTTAAGTACCAAAGTACCATGATATCAGACACCACTGTGAGCTGTTGGGTCATCCTTTGGCAGAGATTGTGTAGGTGTGGGAAACCTACCCCAGCAATTTGCGACCTTCCCTCTAAGCTTCCCAGGAGGGAAGAAGTCCAAACTCAGTGCTACATTCCCACCATCAGCCATGATCATATGATCCCCATTGACTTTCTCTTTGCAAGCTTTTCAAGCTTCCCCATTGATCTGTGGGGAAGTGCCAGAGTACGTTGTACATAAGGATCATGTGACTACAACAGCACAGAAGCAGCAGCAGCAGAGCATTGCTGAAATGGCAAGAACTTTCCTAAATTCCCCACAGGAGCAGTGGGTCCAGGCATTCTAGGTTATCCTATTTAAGGTAGAGCCCCCCCAATCTTTTGGGCACCAGGGACCAGTCCCGTGAAGAGAGGTTTTTCCACAGACCGGAAGGGGCATGGTTTTGTGTGCTGCTTGCATCCCATGGATGGGTCTTTACTTGTTTATGCCGCTCGGTTGCTAGCATGCTGCGGCCCGGGGCTGATCCATGGACCAGAGGTTGGGGACTCTGAATTTAAGGTATCTCAGCTGAAAGTGTTTTGCGTATGATACACCATTTCATCCAGCTGAAGTTACAAGAGTTTTAGGATTATATAGATTTTCATATATTTTCATATATTTAATTCCAGAGTAATTACCCATCTGGACCACTTCATTCTAGAAAGATCATGATTCTTATTCAAGGTTTATAATGAGATTTGTGGAAAGAAAGCACAGCATTTTCTGAACCCACTCATAAATATTTGTGATCTTTCTTGCAGGGCAGCCTTTTGAACCAAAAAGAAAACTTAGAAGTGCTGTTTCTAATGTAATCTGTGCAGTTGTCTTCGGCAATCGATTTGATTACAAAGATCAAACGTTCATGGAGAACCAAAATGCTGTAGAATCTTTATTAAAACTCTGCAGTAATTTCACAGGAATGGTATGTTACTAATCTACTCTGCACCTCCTATCTTGAGGTCTCATTTTTACTAGCAGAGATGCAAATGCTGAAGGCAAAAATGTGAAAACTAGATGTAATGAACTGCAGATCTGGAAAAGCTAAATCTAGACATCCAGAAAGGCTGAGCCACCCAAATATCAGTTGATTCCCAGTTCACCTCTCATAGCTGGATTTATTTCCTATGGGCCATTTTCTTCCCTGATCATTAGAGCCATAACTCCTTTGGGCTCTAGCCTACTTTTTCTAGTATTTACTCATTTGCTAACTTGCCAGGGAGGTACAAACATGAAATTTCACTGGAATGGTTGATACCTCTTAATATTTCATTGCTATTTTCTCCATGCTACCTTTGTGATACATAGTAGTATTCCACACAAACAAAAAGAAGGTATATTATATATTTTTAAAAAGTGCATGGCACATACATACCAAATAATATTGGCAACAGTAATTTTCATGTCAAATTATTGACCTGTCTCTTTCTCTCTCTCTCCAGTTAGCTGATACCTTTGTGCTAATAATCACACTCTCTTTTCTCTATATCAAAGATTATGAGCAGTTACACTATTATCCATTAATGTAAGAGATTGCGGGTAGGGTAGGAAAATAGTGGGTGAATCAACTAACAGATTACCTTGCAAATGGAACTCAACCCAAGTGGGTAGAATTCTAGGGAAAACCTTTTCAATAACAGTTTGCTTTAATTAACTTGTTGTAAATATAAATTCCTATTACACTTTCCCAAATTCTCTATTTATTTGTGACTACCATTACAGACATTTTTGTGAAATCGAGTTCTTGCCTTCTTAACTTTGGCACCTATGGGAGCCTTGACAATTAGCAATTTCACTGTAAAAATTAATTTCTGAATATTTGGAGGATTATGATGCCACCATAATAGTATAAAAATATATGCTATTTAACCTGAAATTTGCTACAGGTGTACAATAGTTTTCCAAAAATAATGGAATATTTTCCTGGACAACACACAAAGACTTTTGCTGAAATTGAAAAACTCTGTGACTTTATCCATGAAAAAGTGGTACTTCACCAGAAAACACTGGATATTCAGGAACCCCGTGACTTTATTGATTGTTTCCTTATCAAATTAGAGAAGGTATGTATGTGTGTGTGTGTGTGTGTGTGTGTCTACGTGTATGTATATATTGTGTTTGTGTATGTGTATGCATGTGTGCATGTGTGTGTGTGTGTGTGTGTGTGTGTGTGTGTAAAAATTCTGCATAAATATGAGTATTCCCTGATATGCATCTAACATGAAACTAATTTACCTAATGTGAACCATTTTAACATTATGTATTCTCCATATTCTATCTTTGCTCTTGGACAATCCCACATTGCTAGTTCTTGACATATATTTTTCTCCTGGCTATAATTGCTGTTGCTAAAAATAGATATACTTTTCTCCAGATAAGCTGAGCATGAGAAATCTCTATTTGGTATTCTTTATGCAGAAATCAAAGTAAAAGGAATCTTCCTTAAAATAATGTTGCTATATTCATAGAAAAGCTATTTTTTAAAAAAATGAGTGTATAGAATTTTGTTCTCCATTCTAATTCATTCTTTATAGGATGTTTCTTTAGATTCGTAATAGATTATATGAAGATGATCAAGTGAAATTTCCTGGAATTTATAAGCAATTTTGATTAGTCTCTTGGATGAAACATCCAAGCTTCTATGATCAGATTTAATTCTGTTTTCCAAGCATACACTTTAGGAATTCTTTAGCTGAATTATACATAACAACCTCGGTCAAAAACAGAATATGCATTCTTATAATTTGGCCATTCCTTATAGTAAATATTTAGTTGAAGGGCCCCCTCATGATATGGACAAGATGTTTTCAGGCCCACACTGCCTTTCCCCGTAGCTTCCTTGAGCCACAGTCACATATCCTCCATGACTCAGGCTGCCTCCCGCACACCTTCCCTGCCCCCATGGTACCTCTTGCACACTCCCAACGTTTCCAAGCACCGTTTTCAAATCACCTCACCTCCCTGCTCACCTCTTTCTGATCCCCATGCATCCTTCCCAACCCAGTCTGCCCCCCCATGCATTGCCACTGACCCACATGGCACCTTTTGCTCCTTCTCAAGCAACCCCAGGCACCCTTCCCAACCTGTGCCACCCCTCCTGACTTCCACACACCCTTTCCGTCCCAAATCACTCCCTTAATTGCCCCTTAATTGACTGCATGGTGCCTCTGGTGCACCTCATGTATCTTCCCAACACATACTCCGCAAGCTCTTGTCTTCCTTGATCTGCATGGCATCTATTACGTATACTCACGCACCTCGATGCTCCCTGCCAATTTTCCACAAGGAAATACACTGCGGGAAGTTGGAAGTCAACATTGCTCCCACTGTATCTTTTTAACCACCCAGTGGTGACTCAACAGGGCACAGGTTGTCTAATACACTCTAAAAGCATTTTGAATTAATTACTTTTCCTTTAATTGGAAGATACATTAGGTTGAACTTCATGAGCTACTATACTTGTTTTTTATTTTTTATTAGTTTATAATATAAAATACAAAAATTCAAAAAAAAAAGGAAAATAGGGAAGGGAAAGGTGTAGAAAAGAGGGGGAAAAGAAAGAGAAGGCATTGACTTCTGACTCATTTGGTGCAGTAGAATAAGATAACGACATCAAACCTCAACTTTTTACTTTTACATAATGGTATAAACTAGCCATTACTTTGGAATCAGCTCCCCCCGGAGATTAGGACCGCTCCCACCTTGTTGGTCTTCCGTAAGCTACTTAAGACCTGGCTTTTCCGGCAGGCCTGGGGTTTATAAAACCTTACCCCTGGATGATTGTTTTTGTATTGTTGTTTGTTATGTTTTATGTGTTTTTTATTGTTAGCCGCCCAGAGTCCTTCGGGAGTGGGGCGGCTTATAAATTTTAAAAATAATAATAATAATAACAACAACAATCCTATCTAATCGGTAAAATCCAAAATCAAAGTTTCATTTTTTTTCCCAACTCAAGCACAAAGTCCAGAAGCAGTTTCCAAGAAGAAACGAAAGTAATTGTATTTTTTTCTTTAATCAAAGCAGCTAGTTTAGCCATCTCTGCTAACTCCATCAACTTTTGCAGCCATTTGTCCATTGCGGGAATCAAAGTGTCCTTCCATTTTGTGCATAAAATAGTCTTGTTGCAATCAACATATATAACATCAAAGTTCCAAAGGTTTTTTCCAAGTCTTTTTCCATTAAATCCAAAAGAAAAGTTTCTGGTTTTATCTTTATATTCACTTTGACAATCTTCTGTATTAGGATGGAAATCCTTCTCCAATATTTCTTTGCTTTGTCATATGTCCACCCTAAATGATAAAATATCCCTTCTTTACATTTTCATTTTCAACATTCATTTGAAATACTTTTATACATTCTTAACAGTTTGATGTTAAATACCAGCAATACATCATCTTATAGAAATTTTCTTTTAAATTATAATTTAGTGTAAATTTTAAACCTTTCATCCACATATTCTCCCATTGGTCAAGCATTACATTATATCCAAAATTCCTTGCCCACTGAATCATTCAATGCTTTACATGTTCATTTTCCAATAATAATTTATAGATCTTAGCAATAATATGTTCATCACTACCACACAGTAGGATTTCAAATTCATTTTTGACGAAGTCAGACCTATAACTCTTTTTATCTAATGTAAATCTTTCTTTCAATTGTAAGTATATAAACCAATGGCAGACATGTCCTTCCGATTGTAACTCCTCCTTAGACTTTAGGATAAGATCACCAAAATTAAAATATATTATTTGACCATAAATCCATCAGTCTGGCTTTGCCATCATTTCTTTTCTAAAGGTGTCCTTCTTGGAACATCCAAAGAAGCATCTTCATAGAAAATCTTGTTTTATATTTATTCCAAACTCTTAAAATGTTATGTCTAACAAAGTGATTATTAAAATCAACATTTGCTTTAAATTTGTCACACCATAAGTAACTGTGTCCTAAAGATGCTTTTTCACAGGGCAACTGGACTTTCTTGTTTTTCTTTGAAGATGTTTCGCTTCTCATCCAAGAAGCTTCTTCAGCTCTGACTGGATGGTGGGGAATGGAAGGATTTATACTCCTTGCAGACAGCAGTTCATTTGCATTCTTTTAAAATGCAAGGAGTATAAATCTTTCCATTTCCCACCATCCAGTCAGAGTTGGAGAAGCTTGGATGAGACGCGAAACATCTTCAAAGAAAAACAAGAAGGTCCAGTTGCCTCTTGAAAAAGCATCTTTGGGATAACTATGACCTGGATGACTGAGAATCTCCATAGACATAAATAACTGTTTCATCCAAATCTTAATTCGTGACCTTCATGAATTAAGTAACCTCTACTTCAGAGATCCCCAACCTTTTGGGCACCAGGGACCGGTTCCATGGAGAGAGTTTTTCCCATGGACTGGAGGTTGCATGGTTTTGTGGGCTACCTGAATCTCGTGGATGGGGCTTTGCTTGTTTGTGCGGACTGGTTGCTGGCATGCCGTGGCCCTGCTCTACTTGACCTTCATGATCAAGTAGCCTCTTATTCTGGAGGTTCACTTACTCTTTTACCCAGATTAAACAACAAGCATCAAAATATAGTTTCAAATATGGTAAACCCAAGCCCCCTCTTTTCTTAGCATCTTGCAGTAATTTATATCTAATTTTTGGTTCTTTCCCTTGCCATATAAATTTAGAAATATCCATTTGGCATTGTTTAAGTGGAGTATCTGTTGCAAATATTGGTAACATCTGAAACAAAAAAAGCATCTTGGGTAAAACCTTCAATCTTAATTATAGAAATTCTACCCAATAATGATATAAATGCAGTTTATCCCATCTTAATAGGTCGTTTTTGATATCATTCTAGAGAAGCACATAGTTATTTTGAAATATGTTTTGCATTTGTCAATATAATCCCCAAATATTTCACCTTTTTCTCAACCCCAAAATCAGTCAATAAACCATCCTGAGAGGCCATATTCTTAATAAGCATTGTTGTTTTCTGTTTATTTTAAAAGCCGCTAAACCCCCAATTCATTTAATTTCCACATAAAATATTCTATATTATTTTTGGTCTTGCAAAAATATAACCAAAACATCAGCAAATGCCCTCAATTTATACACTTTCTTCTTGATGCTTACACCTGTTAGTTTCTTATATCTCATGCCTAATATCTCTGTCCAAAATTTCCAGCACCAAAATAAACAATAAGGGAGACAAGGGACTTGTACCCTTTTGAATTTCGCATGAATTGGTTAGATCACCATTAATAATAATTTGTGTTTGCTGTGACATATAAACTGCTTTGACCCCTTGAATAAAATTCTCTCCAAAGTCCATGTCTTCCAAAATTTTAAATATAAAAGCCCAATTTAGGTTGTCAAAGGCCTTCTCTGCATTTAAAAATATTAAAGCTGCCTGTTTCTCATTATGATATTATAAATATTCAATAATGTTCAGAATAGTCTCTTAACTGTCTTTTTGGCAGAAAGCCAGATTAATCTTTATGAATATATGCCGACATGAACTACTATTAATTCCAAGTAGAATTCTTTATTCCTCCCTTTTTCTTCTTCTTTTCCCCTTCAGGAGCAGAATTCATCCGAGATTATCTACACTCCTGAAAACCTTGTGCGTTCTGTGCTTGAACTGTTTTTTGCTGGGACAGTAAGCACAAGCAATGCTTTGGTCTCTAGCCTACTTGTGATGGCCAAATTGCCACAACTTCAAGGTATAGAAATGAACACAAAAATAGAAAGGTTTCAGATCTTACAATATAACAACAACAACAACAACAACAACAATAATAATAATAATAATAATAATAATAATAATAATAAAAAGTTAGACAGGACATTGGAGGTCCTCTATTTCTCCTAGGGTATCCATGATCAATCCTCAAAATATTGTTGAGTAAAGTTTCATACATTACAGTTGCTTTTATGCAAATTTGTTGGAACCATTATGGAAATGATTTGCCATTGTCTTTTTCCTGAATGTTTTTATTGTTGTTGTTTTAAATTATTCAGTTCAGCTAACATGTCCTTTCCTTCCCCCTTTCCTTAATAGAGATACAGCAAACTGCATTAATTTAATACTAACTTTATGGGATTTCAGTATCTATGTCTGTGTGCCTTACTAACTAATATGCCCTAGGAACCAATGAGTCCCACACCAAGATTTCCAGAAAATGAGATTTCATGGGGATTTTGAAGAAGCAACTGCTAATAGATATTTCTAGGGAACTTATAATCTTTGGATCATGAAGAGGGAGAAGTGATTGCATGGTTTAACAACATTCCTCCTCCTTCCCCTCTTCCTAATTAGTTTAAATTAATTTAAATTTATCCACTGCATTTTTTTGGAGTAGAAATTCTAATCTTCAGATAGCCCATATGGAAATACTTTATGTTTACTAGCTCTAGGCCTATTTGGAAGCCACACAGGTACATATACTATAAACAACATCAATCACATCTTAAATTAGAAGAATTGAAATGGTCTCCATGGAGGGAGGAGGAGGGTCATTTTTCTGTTTAGAAGTATCTTCTCTGTATGTGCTTTGAAAAACATGCTTCTACCCAAGTAGTAGTTGACTGCTCAGCACATGAAAGTAAAAGGCTGTCAATCTGGTCTCAATATGTTTTTCTCACAGCTAAAGTGCAAAAGGAGATTGATGAGATGGTGGGTACAAATCGCATTCCAAGCATGGAAGACCGTTTGAAGATGCCTTTCACAAATGCTGTTCTCCATGAGGTTCAACGGTGTTGGAAAGACAGTCTTGAGACCTTTCCACGGGCAACAACCTGTGACATAAAATTCCATGGTTATAACATTCCCAAGGTGTGGTGATATAACTATTGGTCAAGATATTCTGGGGAAGAAAAAACAAGATGACTGTTATATATCCAGACATCCTTCATATTCAAGGCATTTTGAATATTAAACCAAATATCTCTCATTTCCCTCCCTCTTTACAAAGGGTTCCCCACTGACCTATGTTATTTACGGCAAGTGAGAACTGAAGATTTTTTTCTGCATATAGTAGTACCAATTAGTGCCATCTGTTTCTTTCTTTTCCTTTAGTACATGGCTATTGTGCCAGTCCTCCCCTCTGTAAATTATGATCCTCTCCAGTGGGAAACTCCAGAGAAGTTCAATCCAGATCATTTTTTGGATGAAAAGCGCCAGTTCAGGAAAAGAGATGCTTTCATGGCATTCTCAGCAGGTACCATCTTCTGGAACGGATTGGATGCATTACAAAGCCATATATTAACCTGATCCACATTATTCAGTTATTAGACACAATTTCAGGAGGGGTACTTCCTAAATAAGTTTTGTTTTCTTCTTTGCTAATGCAGGGAAGCGGTCCTGTCCAGGGGAGGCCCTGGCTCGGATGGAGCTCTTCTTGTTCTTCAGCACTCTGCTCCAGAACTTCACCTTCCATCTAGATGTGGACACCAAAGGCATGGATGTAATATCTTTCATTAAGGATTTAAAAGATAATCAGTTCCCTTTTGTGCGAGCCATTAAACGTTGAACACTAATCAAGAGAAGGAAAGAAGTGGAGGATTTGGGGGGGGGGGGAATCTCAGCTGCAATTTTTTAGAAGAATTTTGGGATATTGAAGGATTTTGAGTGAAACAGATCTGAAATACTTTTCCTTTTAAATCTTCTTACTTAGTAGAGCCATATTTGCTACCATAGAACACACTATTCTGGCATTCACAAGAGCTTATGATAGTATGCTATGTTTAAGAGGAATTTAAGAGGTTTTAAGAGAAGAGATACTCCAGGGGCTTCATTTAGCTTAAGAGAAAAGAATTGATACAACAAGGAATAAGTTAACACGAAAATGACATGACTGTGAATCTGCGATATTGCATACAATTTGGCATTAAGGCTTTGCAGTACTTGAGATTGAATCTCCAGCAAGAAGCTTCAGAGAACAAAGGGTTGTGGGAACAACATCCATCAGCAGCACCTTAAAGCAGCTATGTCTTTTTCTAGAATGACACTGGGCCTTCTATCTATAGATGTAAAAAATAGAAGAACAATCGATGCTTTCAATACATTTTCTCTGAAAATATACACTTCCAAGTGAAATGAAATACAGAGATTTAACTCTATTTCAGTCTTAAATATGCATTCCGTATGTTTATATGTATAACTCAACGGACTCCAATAGGTCTCTAAGTCTCCACACAATGTATTAGGAGATATTGATGAGTCCTCTTGTTGGAGTCCATAGTGACTCAAAGTGAGATTTACTGAATCCCCATGTGTGAAAGAACTTATCCTTGTAGCACAGGTGACATGGAAACTATCTTTCCTATGCTTTTATATTGCCCCTATTAGCCAGCAAACCTTTATTTTCTTTTTATTGACTGATTTTAGTAGGAAAAATGAACATTTCTTCACTATTTTTAATCTATTAAATAATAATCCTTTTATCACCTGTAATGTTTGCCAGTTTTTTCACTGCAGCAATTAAAACACATAAATGACAGATAATTACAAGAATGAGGTATAGGCATACACATTGAAAGTCATTTTGTTTCAATCATCATCATAATTATTGATCAATTGTCTCATTATCTGAGGTCAACCTTCTCAATTTATAATAGTTGGGGTTTTTTTAAATTAACCAAACAAGTCTTATTGATCCTGTGGTAGTTCAGTTGCTTTTGTTAAAACTTGTTGGGAGATTGTTAGTTTATAATTTTTTTTTAACATATTAATATTTTATTACATCCCTAATTCAATTTGGAATATTTAAGTAAATGTAATTTTATCATTGATATCTTATTTTGGTTTACTCTTATTTTAAAATTTTAAGATTTGCATGGATACCTTTTATTCTATGTATATATTTAATCTTTTCCCAGTTCTTTATGTTTTACTTTGTATTTAAAATTTATGTTTTATTAATTGCTGGTCAATCTCTGAAATAAATTTGACTGATTAAATTTGATTTTTGAGCCTTTTTTCTGCCTCAGTGAATCAAATTATGCACTCCTGAACAGGTCTATTGCAATTCCTAATTGGGAAAAATCAATATTTATGAAATCCTATCAAGTCTTTGGGATAAGACCAGAGTGAATATTATATCAAGATTAAGGTACAGTTCAAAACACTGTGTTAATGATTTTTTTTTATGGCAGGCTAAATCCTCTTGAATATTCTTAGCCAAACTAAAATTACCTTACACTGAAGATGGTTTCAATCTACCAGATTTTCAATTTTTGTTTGAAAGGAGATTTCTTATGAATATTCTTCTCTTTGGATCTGAAATCTTGGCAAATTTTAGGGTCTGGGTATATTAAACTGGTTTCTTGGTTTTCAGACTTGAAAACTGATAAGCATATTTAGTTATTAACACCTAAGGCGTTATGTTTTGATTCTGAATCACTTGAGAAAATGATGTTGTGCTATAACCCAAACTTTGAATAGCAAGATGTTTTCCTGGAATTCTTGGCCTAAATAAGAGCACTTTGATCAGTTTATTTGTAATGATTGCTGTAATCCTGTTGCTTTTGCTCTTTGTTCAGCATTTAGATTTTAGTCTTGACATTTGGAATTTGGTGGTATTAGAATTCTCGATATTTTCAGCCAAAGCTAAATAGGTGACCTTATTTTGTCTCCTGGGCAGGAATGGACATTTTTAGCTTTTCCTTCCCAACAGGCAGTTAGCACTGAAATACAATTACATCTGTCCTCACTGAAACAAATAATTTTGCTTTCCAAGAATTAAGAAAGAGTACTCACAATTAAATATTTTCTAGGTTTTGTACAAATATAATTGCTATACATAAAATTATACTTCACAAATTCAAATCAGTGTACAGTGTTTTTTGCTTAGCCCACTTTAATGTCCTCCCATCTGCAATTTTGGATGAAAAGCACAGTAACATATTATTATACTTGTCTCTCTGATGTGGAGGAGACCTCTCTGGTCCATATATTTCCTAGATGTTGCTCCTGTAGCACCCTGAATTTCACTTACTAATAGTAGTTCCACTAACTCTGAGAATGAGTAGGTTTGTTTCTAAGGACTGGATTAGAACTCTAATATCTCAAGATTCACAAAATTCCTTCAATTGCCATTCCTTAATGCAGAAAATGATTCCCTTTAAATCCCAGTAATATAAAATTCTTGTTTTCTTTTTAAAATAACATTTATGTTGTCCTATGTCTTAAGTCTTATACTATTTTAACAAGCAATGAAAAGCAAGCAAACAACAAGCACGAAGTCAAAAGCTTCATATTAGGTATATACTCCCTTTAGATTTTTTATTCACAAAGTACTTTTTTCATCCTTACTACAGAGACTGTAATAAGATTAACTATTTCTCCAAGGTTTCATATGTTTATCTAGACTGGACTGGAAAGTCAGCAGCAGGACAAACTATTGGAGAGCATGGAGGTGAGCTTTCCTCCCTCCATCCCTCCCTTCATAGACTGATATAGCTGGAAGGATCTATCTAAACTATGGGCCCCAATATCCTACTTGTGCTGGAATCTAACTTCAGACCCCAAGAGATACTGTAGCTGCCCAGCCTTTGTTTGAACATATCTAGACAGGGTGTACATACCTCAAACATTGGCAAAAGGACTTCAACCCTCATTGTGGGCAGCAATCTGGCATCTCTCAAGCTTTCCTGAGAGAAAAGGAAACACAAAAAGCTAGTGCTTTAATAGCTTAATAGCTGTGAATGAACGGATGCCTTAAACCAGCAACAGCTTTTTTCGGGCTCTCGTGACAGCCAGAAAAAAAGAGTGGCATATTTAATGAATAAATCACTTTGTCTGAATCACAATAACAGAGTTGGAAGGGACCTTGAAGGTCTTCTAGTCCAACCCCCGCTCAAGCAGAAGACCCTATACCAGACATGTCAAACTCACGACATCACGTGCCGGCAATGGGGTGGGCGCGGTTTCCTGGTGATGAGTCTGGCCCTTTGACACCCCTGCCCTTTACCATTCCAGACAAGTGACTATCCAGTCTCTTCTTAAAAGCCTCCAGTGATGGAGCACCCACAACTTCTGAAGGCAAGCCATGCCACTGATTAATTGTTCTCATTCTCGTTAGTTCTAGGTTGATTCTTGCCTTGATTAGTTTCCATCCATTGTTTCTTGTCTTGCCTTTTGGTGCTTTGAAAAATAGGTTGACCCACTCTTCTTTATGGCAACCTCTCAAATATTGGAAGATTGCTATCGTATCATCCCTAGTCCTTTTCACCAGACTAGGAAGGAACCTTGGCTCTTTTATGACTTGTGGACTTCAATACCCAGAATTCCTGAACCAGCCATGCTGACTCAGGAATTCGGGGAGTTGAAGTCTACAAGTCATAAAAGAGCCAAGATTCCCTACCTCTGGACTAGACAAACCCAATTCCTGCAACCATTCTTCATATGTTTTAGCCTTCAGTCCCCTAATCATCAATGTTACTCTTTTCTGTACTCTTTTCAGAGTCTCTACATCTTTTTTTTTAAATAATATGATAACCAAAACTCAATGCGCTATTCTAGATGTGGTCTTACTAAGGCTTTATAAAGCAGTACTAATACATCACATGATCTTGATTCTATCCCTCTGTTAATGCTGTTCTCTGCTTGTCAGAGGAAATAGAGACCAGACAAGGTCCTATTTCATCCAGCTTACTCCAGAGAAAGCCAAAAAGGTAATGGCTGCCTGGACAGGAAGAACCTTAGGAAGCAGGCTTTATATCATAGTTATAATGGGCCCTTTTATATATAAAGTGATTCAATTTGTCCTTCACAAGTGGTGCAAGATAAAGAAAAAGGGGGATAGTATTGCACCATAGAACCTGACAATGCTATTTCCCTCTATTTTTCTGGTGTTTAACAACTATAAGGCAAGATATCAGTTTGCAACAGAAACACTAGTTTTTTAAATAAAATCCCTCATGCATTACATTGTAAACATCCATAAAACTCAGCCAAGATGGTTAGATTTATGTTTTATCAACATTCAGTCAAAGTTTCCTCTTGCCCTATTATATTACAAGGTCTGCCCATTCATGCAGGTAATAGCATCATAGCTTACACACAAATGGACCAGTGTTTGTGTACCAATGAAGTGATGTTTCTTTCAATGATTTTCTGCCTCCACCCCCCCTCCCCAGGCATCGTCTCCCCAGTATATATCACTGGCTGAGTTTATACATCACCCTGAGAGTCTGCAAGCTTTGTTTTCCAAGAGGCACAATTTTAATTTACAATATGAAAGTAATTGTGCACTTACCACAACAATGCACCTATCCCATTCTTTATGCAGGCTTTTTGTTGTTTACTATCATGATGCTTGAAAAAAATAAAGTGCTATAGTCCTAAAAATGGAGTGGATATTTTTTGTAATATTTCAGTATTCCAAGGATTTATCAGAAAGACTGCTATATTCTAGTATAGGATGGTCAGGAAGCTGCTTAACACCAAGTTAGGGCCTGATCCAGCTAACTCCATATTATTGATGCTGATTGTCCAGCAATCTTCATTTTTATAGGGAAGACTTTACCTAGAAAGTGTAAGGATTAAACTGGGGCTCCTCTACATGCACAGCAGAGATTCTATTATTGATTTCTGGCCCTTTCGTTCAATTCTGAAACACTGAAGAGCATTTTCCAGAAGTTAAATATGCTGGGAGATTCCTTTGCAGGAGAAAGAAACGTGGGTTAGGGTAGAATATCCCTTCACACTATTGCAATGCTCTTCTTGGAACTTCTTTGTTCCTGAAACTGCAGATGTTGTGCTTGGCTGCACATTTAATACATATGTACCTATCATCTCCGGTACTTCTAGTGATTGAGCAATGGGGCACCACATCTACCCAAACAGTAAAGGTTTAATTATATCACAACTTTTGTTGTAAAATTGAGGTCTGGACAATATCTTTCCAAGTCTATATAAACTCTCCAGGATGGAAATTCAAGAATGGTGTTCACATCCTAAAACATGGTACAGAAGCAGATACAGAAAGAAGGAGAACAGTTGGGAAGGTGAAGAAAGAGAAAGAGGGCTGGAAGGAAAGTGGAAATATTTGAAAAAACAAACTATTGAGGTGCAAGTACAAAAATATAGTGAATTACTATCTCTGCTATTTTATGAGATCTGTGATAATTGAAAATCCAAATATCCAACTCCTTGCTGATACGTTGCTAGACTGTGATGCATTATTTAACTCGTTTTTGGCATCTGTCTTTACACGAAGGGAAAAAACAGACCAACCTACCAAAAATAGTGCCATAAAAAACAGAATAGAAACGCAAGTTAAGATAGGCAAGAAAATGGTAAGTAAGCACCTTTCCAGCCTAGACGAGTTCAAATCACCAGGACCAGATGGATTACACCCCAGGTGTTGTGTCCTGAGCCTGCACAAGCAGGTTCGGGATGTTGCAATGGTCCCGGGAATTGCAGAAGCTGTCCAGGACCAGACTGAGTGGCGCCGCCTTGCGCATGCGCAAGGCACGAAAGCACCCTGATTGTTGCCATTGTGTCCTTTGCTCATTGTTGGTGTTTTGGCTGAAAACGAAATAAAGAGCTGTTCCTTGCAAGATGTGTCTTCATCATTTGCCATTGTTGGAAGGACTTAACACTGGCGACAAGGGTGGGATTCTTTACAAGCTGAACAGGAAGAAGCTTTAAAGACTTACCCAAAGAAGTCCTGAAGAAGGGAAGACGGTGTTAAAATCAGCGTCCCAGCCTGCCAGTACAGTGTCGCTGGAGGGTGAGCTCGGCTGAAAGACCCCTTCCCTAAGAGAAGCAAATGGTGAAGTGCAAACTTAGGATGGCACAGATCGGCCGTTTATCCGAATTCGATGTCTCACACCCGGAAACATGGGAATCCTACGTTGCGAGGGTGGAGAATTACTTCAGGGTAAACCAGATCAGAGAAGATAGCTTGAAGGCTGCAACCCTGTTGTGTGTCTGTGGACAGGAAGCCTTTGAAATTAC